TATTTTTGCTTTGTAGGTTAAATGCATTATTCCACATTATCCAAGATTCTTAAGTTTCCTTTATAAATAGTGGATTAGTATGGTCATTAAATGCTTCTTTATTTATAATACATATGACTCCTTTTTTCTTTGCAACCAAATCTTTTAATTCTAGTTTTGTAAGGTATTTCCAATTGTTCTACTCATTATGTTAAACAAAGGTGTATCAGGAGTATTAAATTAAATTCAAAACTTTAAAGTTTAGAATCTTCTTTGTTTCATGCAAAACTGTTGACTTTGAATGATTTCCTTTTACATATTCTATACTGCTTCCAGATTAGTTTAGAAATTAATAACTGCTCACCAAAATGTTTTTCCCAAACCCTTTTAATTTTAATATAAAAAATCTTGTAAAAAGTGCTTTCTTGTTAATTTTAAAATTCCATACATTCTTTTAAAGGGATAGTTCGGTATTTTTGACATGAATCTGTATGGCATCCCGATCACCAGCGGCATGCAATCACACTGACTTACCCCTGGCAGCGTCCTGTGAGCAGAGTTATCGTCCAGTTTTGGTCAAGCCGAAAGTAGTCCTGCAGGTTTTTAGGTACAGCGAAATAAAACGTTTCTCTTCCCAAAACATTATGTGTCCAAAAGAGTGATATTTTCGCATCCCAAAAACATTGTAGTTGAAAAATTCACACGTCGTTATCAATTGGTCCTATTTTCTCTCTGTTCGTATCAGTGCGCGCCGTCATTCAGACAGCGAGCCCAACAACAGCCATGTCTCCTTCCGCGGCGGAGGGAGACATGGCTGTTGTTGGGCTCGCTGTCTGAATGACGGCACGCACTGATACGAACAGAGAGAAAATAGGACCAATTGATAACGACGTGTGACTTTTTCAACTACAATGTTTTTGGGATGCGAAAATATCACTCTTTTGGACACATAATGTTTTGGGAAGAGAAACGTTTTATTTCGCTGTTCCTAAAAACCTGCAGGACTACTTTCGGCTTGACCAAAACTGGACGATAACTCTGCTCACAGGACGCTGCCAGGGGTAAGTCAGTGTGATTGCATGCCGCTTGTGATCGGGATGCCATACAGATTCATGTCAAAAATACCGAACTATCCCTTTAAGTTATAATTTATGTACACCTTTTTAATTGTATGTAGAAAGTATTTAAACTTTTTTCCTGAGCAATATAAATTTGTATCATCTGCAAAATAGTACATTTTAATACCTCAGAAACTTTACAAATATCATTTATATAAAGAATTCAAAATTTAGCTCCAAGCAAAAAATGTGGCACCACACAGGTGGTCTGCCTTAGTGCCGATCTTGTTTAATTGATATGTACATACTGGTGTTTATTCTCCAAATACATTTTGATCCATAAATTCTTTATCCCTCTTAATATCTACTTCTCTATTATCAAATAATAATGCGTGATATTTATCAAAAGCGAAATCAATAAAAATACCTATAAAATATTCACTTGCTTCTACTTTTTCTACCATTTTTATTACTTCATACATAGTTGTTCTAATTCTTTTAACCTTAAATTTTTAGCGATCCAATGTTTTCTTGACAAGGTTGTTTATGTTTAACCAAATACTGTTTAACAGGACAATGCTTGTCATACAGATCTATTGGATCATCACCTTCAAAATCACTCAAAATCGATTAATATCCTTTACCTAGATAAAAAAAAAAGATTGATTGATAACAGGGTTTTGAAGGCAATGAGTTGTACTTTTTTAAGAGTATCAAATCTAAGGGGTCTGATATGTTTGATTTTTACTTTACACCTAAAAATATATATAAAATAATGTAGAATAATATGTTATAGAGTGTTGTGGTTATAATTAGGAACAATGCCTAAACCTCTTAAGATGTATAAGTTTGGGGAAGCCACCTAATATTATTAGTGGAATTATTATTTTGATCGGCTTATGCTGTCATTTTTGCTCATCTCTAGTGGGACTGCTATTTTCACATATCCACTAGTTTAAAAATGTCCTCAGCTGTATATTGATTATTTATTCTCCAGATACACAGTATTTATATTGTAAAAACACTGTAAGGTTAAGTATTTTATTTGTCCTTTTTTTTTTTTTTACTACTGTCAATTCTGTTGTTTTTATATACTTTTTAAGGTCCCCATTTGGGTGACCACTTTTGCTGCTGTACCACCACTATTTCCCCATTGTGGGACAATAAAGGGATTTTATATTCTATTCTATTAGACCTCTGTTCACACTTCCAAAGCAATAAGGTTCGTCCTCTGATTTTACCGTACTGTATTCTGAAGAGCTATAGTTGAACTAAAGGGAAAACTGCAATGACACTGCCAGCTTTAGTGTGTCTGAGCAGGTGTAAATACAGGTGTTTCAGCCAGGCCACCCATCAGTGTTATATTTTATGCCTCATTTTTCACTTGCAGTGAGCAAAAGTTGTTGTCCAAACCTACTACTTCTTGTTTGGTTTTCATGTGTTTAAACGGAAGAAAATCCAAATCTTTAAAGTAACAACATGTTCTTCCTTTAGAAGGATATGTTTGAAGTAAAATCCATGGAGAGACAGGGAAGTGCTCCAGACCAAGACCCAAATGAATCCAGATGTCAGTGTGTTCACAAGGTGGAGTCTTGTACATCAGTTTTTATGCCTTGTTTAAAAAAAAAAAATCAGTGGTCTGTCTTTTTTTCTGTATATATTTTCCTGGCTTTCTCTCTTTCTCTGACATTTGTTACATATCCATGACTCAGTTGGTAAAAAAAAAAAAAAAGATTCTAGTTATTATATAGACTAATTTAAAATTAGATATAATGAGCCTTGATAGCCTCATATTTTGTTGTTAACAATCCTTATTGCTGTATTATTAGTTACAATAATGTTGTAACTCCAGAAAATGACCCTTGCAACCTTGACCTCTAGACATTGTACAAATCCCACCTCTGCTGGTGACAGGGGGCATTAAGGTCAAATGAGCATATTGCATCTTTAAAACTATTTGGATGTTTATTTTCCACAGTAAATCTTTACTATTTCTGGTCTATTCACCCCCTTTGATGTTCCGGTTGAGTCTACATTCTATCCTTTTCTAAAAGATGCATTTCCCTAGTTTCTGTCTACACCCTTCACAATGTTCAAAAAACATTTTATGTTTTGTGAGCCCAAGCTTCCATTGTGTTTTTGGTGGCTTCAAAAATAAGTTGTTCCTGTTACTGGTGAGTGGGGAGTCCCTCTGTGACACAGACAGTACTCATATTAGTGCAGCTGTTCGTGAGGACATGGCTGTTGTTATCCTTCTGTCTGTGACCTGGGAGGGGCAGGACACATGCAAAACACAAAAGCATTAGCACACACACACACATAAGCACACGCACATACCAACACACAGACTTGTTAACAAGCTTTGAGCTGAAGAATGACTCTCATGAATGAATGAATTGGAATTTGGCAATCTTTAAAAACTCAGGAACACAAGTTATATTTCTAAGTAAGTTTACAACATTTCATTGAGCATTCAAAGTCAGTGTGGCTTTATTCTTACTTTAGTTAAGTCTGTGTGCATGTGTGTGGGTGTGTGTGTTCATACTTTTGGTTGTAGTGGGGAATATAGTGTGTGTACTGGCACCCTTGTTCTCAGGTCTCAGTTTCTATACAGTTGCTGCTGCTCCTTCATGTCCTGTCATGCTTTTAAGCTTACATCACACCCAAGAGGGGACTGTTGCATTTAGCAAGTTCATACATAATATTACATGAGTATATATATATGCATGGAGAAGAAGAATGTATGATGGAAAGCACCATGCGAAAAACATGGCAATAAACTGAGACAGTTGTTGGTGAGAGGAGAAAACTTTTGAGACATACAGTAGAATTAAGAGATTTTGTCAAAATCATTTTGAGTCAACAGTTTCACATTTGAACCATTTGACATGAAGTGTAAATTAAAGAGAAATTAAGTAATTATTTTACTGAAAAATATCTTTAAAATAGCCCTTTTATTTGACCCTTTATGACATCATTTTATGAGCAGCCTGACAGCTCAGTAGTTCAGCGCCGATGCATCTATAAGTCTGTAGCCTGGAAAATCCTGGTTTGGCTTTTGTTATACCCGCTCATACATCCATGTGAAGGAAGCTGGTCTGTACAAAGTAATTGTAACTATCCTTTCCAAATAAAATATTAAATAAAAAAAAAAGTCTGTTTTTCTAAATTTACCGTGGGTTCCTGTCCTGTTTTGCGTATTTTATGTCGTCCATATTAAATGGGTCAGACATGGCAAACAATCAGAGTTATATTCATGATGGATATCGTGAAAAGATTTTATATATATATATATATATATATATATATAAATATATATATATATATACACCGGTATATATATATATATATGTATACATAGATTAGGAAATATTTCTAGGAGTGCAGGGAGCCTATAGGCTCTATTCCTTTAGATGTGCAAGAGGACACTTCCCAGCAATCTTCAAAAGGCTTAATTAAACCTAAATAAAATATTATGCATCAGAATAACATAGAGGACTTTTTGCAACAGATCTAAAGTTCTAAAAGGTACCTTCAGTCTATCTGTCTGCTCCCATGAGTAAAGTACATTGCTTAGCAAGAAATGACTTATTGTTGCCATTTAGCCAGGGCAAAGTCATATCGCTTCTTTATTCAGCATTCTTGTCTCAATACTTACTGATGCACAAAAATAGAGAAAATTCCTTTTTAATGTACCTCCAGTTCTAGCATTACCAAGAGAAAGTTTGAATAGTTTAACTTGTTTCAGTTCAGCACAATTGGCTCATTAGGCTATAGAATATAGCTGACTTTGAACTCATCTGTTGCTATCAAAGCAGACTGTTGAAACTGAAACCTCTACAACAGACATGTAGAAGTCAACCAACTTAAGAGTAGGCATTTACAAATAAATAAATTTAAACGGTTATGTTTAATATTTCTTCTCACATCCTATTTCCTTTTTATTTTCTCCTCTCCTTACAGACACGATACAGTCCCTCCTGTCATTCTCTCAAGGACGCCTAAGTTCACTGTTGGAGAGAAGCTACTCGTCCCTGTCCCATCAGGCTTTGCCCCATGTGAATCAACTGTTTTCCTCCTTGTCCCTGTTTCTACATGGAGCAAACATCTCAGTTGAGATGACAGTTCACACATTTTTTAACAATATATTCCCTCTTGTGTATACACGGCTCATTAACCCAGGCATTGAAGGGAGTGTTACAGCAGGCAGCACAATGAGTGACTGTCTTCGTATGATCAGGCAGGACGTCAAACCTTTTGGCAATCACACCATCATCATGGCTCAGAGACTGGCTAACGTTTTGGAGATTGGCAGGCAACTTGTTCTCTCCTTGGATAAAGGACTGAAGGTCATCAATGCAACGGAGTATGCGAACCTTGGACGTGATTGTGTAAAAAGTCTGACAAAGATGGTATACTGCTCCCACTGCAGAGGCTTGACACTGATCAAGCCCTGTGTTGACTACTGCTCCAATGTAATGCGGGGATGCCTGGCGAGTATGTCAGAGCTGGACCAGCCTTGGAGGGTATATATCAGCTCCTTTGAGAAACTATCCCGTTCAGTAGCAGGGGATCACAGCCTGGAGCTAGCCATTCTGGGGGTCAGCGAGCATGTTAACGAAGCCATGCTCTACGCACAGATCCATGGTCCGCTCATTACTGCTACGGTGAGTACAACCTCATAAAACATCAATCAGAAACTGAAATGGTTTATTTTTTTTTTTTTTTACATATCTTTGTTTGATCTACATGCCTTGTTAGTGTTAAGTGTAATTATTGGACAGCCTTTGCTTGTGGTCTGTGGGCTATTTTTCCCCATAAGTGGAAAAAAGATCATACAGGCTGCATTAATGTTTGTGCAGTGCTGAGTATAATCCAAGTAAAAGAATGTTTAGTCAAAGCGAACACTTTGCCAAGTCTTCCAAAATTGGCAACATATCATGAATTCATCATTGTTGTTTAGTTTCTGACAAGCAGATATTTTTTTGTCGTTGAGAATGAAGCAGCAGACTCAAATATCAAATCTACTATGTTTTGGGTGTCACATGGTGTGATTACTACCATATGTCTGACGTTATATGTGGCTATAACTCATTGTTGCTATCAGAGCAATTCTCATAAAAAGACAGTTTAAAACTGGATCCTGTCATTAATTCTAAAATGTGAATGTCATGCTTATAATTTAGCCATATATTGTGGATTTTTATCCTTTCTCTGCAGGCAAAAAGCCATGGTTGGGAGATAGAGTTGGACAAACACAAAATAAATGAATTTGTAGTTGGCAGTGGTACAGGTTTTCTTTTTAAAACCAATAGATCAGCTTGAAATCTCCAACCATATTCATCTCAAGTGCACTGAAATCGTTCTAGTTCTACTTTTGAAGTAGATCATTTCAGTCAGCTAAATTAAGACACATCGTAAGGGTGTACTTAATCTATGGGTTTATTATGGACCTGTCTTACCTAATTCACGTTTGTGATGGAAGTGATTTTAAAGCGACTTATTTTATTTAAAAAACACTTCACAGTTTGGTATTAATCAATCTTTTTAACTCACGACCCAAAAACTTACAGCATTTCGCATATGATGGGTTAGTTTTGAACTGCAAAACCTTAAATGTAAAAATGTGTTGCAGACTATTTCCTGTCATTTTTAAGTAGGCACAGGGGCAGATCTAGAAAAATATTTATGGGGTGGCAAGAGGGGGGCAGGAATTTTTTAGGGGTGGCAACATATGGCATTTGTTTACACTGAATTTAATCACAGTTATCACAGTTTGGTGAGAATAGTATGCACAGTACTAGTGTTTCATGTGAAACAGTTCATATTAATAATACATCGTACAATGTGATCTCACTTAATAGGAGATAGAAGAATGATAACACTACTTCTAGAGGGACATTATCACAGGAAAGGTATTAAGGTAAGACACTGGTGCTGAGGTGCAGATGTCTGAGACTGACTGTCAGAGCGGCAGCTTTGCAGCATTTGCACAAGAAGAAACTATAGAAAGAAAAAGTTACTGATCAGAGATCTATGGACTGAGCTGTACTAAAGTGAGCAAAACTACACAATAGAAATAAACGGGTTAAGGCACCCGAACAAGGTACCAGACATCTATGTAATGTTTACTCTGAACACACATTTACCCCATTTGTTCCTCAGTAACTTGACATAAAGCAGTTACGGCAACATGAAAGGGACATTTCATGCATGTAAATATGCTGTAGATAGAGCTGTATATGGAGGACCAACTCCGCCATATTAAAAAATAAAAACAGAAATAAATAGATGCTCAATAAATAAATAAGCATACAATTAATTGCCACCAAAAATACAATCAACAAATAAATGTAATTAGAAATTATATTATAATGGCAGGCAGAAATGTTAAAAGGGCAGGCAGAAAGAAATAGCGGCGAAGAAATAACTAGGGTAAAAAAATACAAAGGAAGAATAAAACAGACAAAAATATGATAACTTGCACATAAATAAATACTTAAAAATATAAGTAATTAAAAAATGAAGTTGAAGATAATAAATGACAAAAAAATAAATAAGGTAAATATTAAAAAGGCAAAGAAATAAAGAAGCCAATTAAAAGAGTTATATACCTTTATGACTAGCTGTATAATTTAATTTCTACTTACATTTATTCGTTGTTTGTATTTTTGGTGGCAATTAATTGTATGCTTATTTATTTATTAAGCATTTATTTATTTATGTATTTATTTTTAAATATGGCAGAGTTGGTCCTCCATACTGCTGTATCAACAAATCAACAAAAAGGCGGGTTCTGTATGTTACATCAAAATATCCACAAATCTGAAAAGAAGCAACATAAAAATACATTTTGCTTGTGAGTAGGTTAATACAGGTCATTTCTGGATAATTTCATATTATATATACAAAAAAAGAAACAACAACACTGCTTCATATTAAGCAGGATTTAGACCAGTATCACATTTTTAACTTTTAACACTTTTGGTTTTATTAAAGGAAATATCAGATTTTCTCAGGTGCCAAAACAAAATGTAACAGCTCTGTAAAGGCTCACCAGAGAGCATAACATAAAGTTAACATGACTATAACAGCTGAATGCAGTGATTTCCATGTTGCTCAGCAAAACGCTTCACAACTTTATTTAGATCCAATGCCTTTGTGCGTTTTGATTTGAGTAAAACCAAACTTGATCGTCTCTTTTCCGTCATAGTTGACCGCAAATATGTCTTTATGAGCCTGAATCGTCAGGCCTAACTAACATCATAGATAGAGAAATAACGTTCTGCAACCTGATTTTTATCATCTCAAAATCAGCATTGCAGCTATGCTAGCAACATTGTGCTTTCATTATGATTTAATTTCTCAATAGACAGTTAATCAATTTTTACCTGTTTCATCCCGTGTCTCCTCTCCCCATCACCCCTGGCTCCCTTGCTTTGCCCCATTCGGTTTTCAAAACAATCAGTCTCAGTCGCTCTCGCGTCATCTCGTGCTGCATTCACTGCAGTCCGACATTTGAAATTAGCGGTCATAATTCTCAAATGATCCATAATTTATAAGCCTCGCCACCCCTACCGCCAACTTGGGTGGCAGCTGGGGTGGCAAGGCTGTTATTTAGGGTGGCATTTGCCACCCTATGCCACCCCAGTAGATCCGCCTATTAGTAGGCATTAAAAGTTATTTTCTTTCATTTCATACAGCTACCGTTAGAGGTATAGTTGACAATTTTTTCAGAAATCTAGGTAAGAAATACCAAAGTCACTTTTTGAAAAATGCAAATGTGTAAGACAAATACTATACCTGCTTTCTGCCAACATGTAAACACATCTTCCAAATACACTCTGGTCGTATCAGTGACACAGAGACTTAAAAAAAAAGAGTCTAAGGCCGAGGTGGATAATCCAAGTCCAGAAGGTTAAAAGCTTGTACAGAGATTAGTTCCAACTATTTGCATTGTTAACTCCAGAGCTCAGACTTGAGATTAATCACCGGGATAAATAAAGAGAATAAAAGAAAACTACATGGGGTTTTTACTCTTTGGACCTGGATTGTCCACCTCTGGTTTTAAGCTTCTTAGAAATGTTTAGTAAATATATCATATGTACAGAGCTGCTGAACAATAATGCTATCCTCCTAACCGTTCTGTATTTTAAGATCAACATAGAATTAATCATACATTTTCTATAGCATTCAGGATTGATTTGGAAATGTTCCTGCTCAAAAGGTAATGACCTTAAACATGGTAGGATTTTATTAACTTTTTAGTCCGAGGTGGCTGATCATTAGAACCTATGGAGTCACAGACGACCCCCGGCACAAGCCAGGTGCGGGTTGGGGGGTCGGGTCCGAAGCAGGAAGTAGATGGGTTGGATTATGGCGGTCACACAGCCCCCAATCTGGATTTTAGAGTTAACCTACTAGGTCATCAAATAATCCTGGGACAGGGCACTGCCGCTCCAAAGGGGTGCCAGGTCCTTGGTCCTGGGATAAATGGATGTGAGTGTTATGTGCGAATCGAGTCTATGTGTTATGAGTGGGGGCACTAGGGTGGCAAGGTGTGATTGAGACTGTATTTTTTTTCTTTTTATTTATTTTTTTGTCAGGTTCGGTTCTGAAGTGCTCCCTCTCCCATGAACATCTCAAGTCTCTGCTAAGTGTGGAGCCCATTCCCCCTTCCTGCCCCCCTACACTGGCTGGTGCTTTGGCCCGCCGGTGCATTGATAGTGCTCGGAGTACATAAAAATAGACCATGCATTTTGTTAGATTCACTTTAAAAGCCAAAATTTTAAAAGGGAACATAGTTTTTAGTTACATTTATTTACTGGAACGTTTACTGAATAAATTAGACAAGGATAACCACCAGTTAAATGAGGAAATTAATGTTGTCAGGTTAAGTGGAGTTTTTTAAAGGAACCAAATGCACACACAGAGGCTAAGGTGGTTTCTTGCTGATTTGATAAGTAGTGGCAACAGAAGCATAAATCCAAAAAAATAACTGGTCAAGGAAAACAAGAACCAGAACCAGAACAAAGGGGAACACATGGTTTAAGGGAATCCAGCACTGAGTAACTGCAGAGGAGGAGTATATATGCCAAAGAGAACAAAGAATAGAGTAATCAACTGATTGGGAGCAGGTGTGGATAGAATGATCTAGAAGGAAGCTAGGGGAAAGGAGACTGGCACAGGGGGACAACAGAGATTAAAAAACAAATATATAAGAAAGCAAATACAACCAGAAAACTACTAGAATGATACAACATGGAAATGAAGCTAATGACATTGAAAAAACAAAAAAACAGGAATGAAAGTGTAACTGAAAACTCAAAAAGAAAACTTACACAGAACCTAAAAGTGCAGAACCATGACAGAAGTTATGGGCCTCATGAAACAATTAGTAAAATACAACAGTTATATTTTTGAATATTTATCTTCCAGGCATAAAATTTTAAATTTGATTAGTTTTTTAAACACATTAGATAAAGGTTTAAGAAAATCAAATGACCTAGTTTTCAATTTTAACAGCTTCCAATCTTCTGCAGAGTTTTTTGCAAATATATTGACACCAACCAAAAACTCATAATGTTAAAAAATGGAAATGGTTGCCAGGCTCATACACTGATTTATCCAACTATGCACTGAGCAACTAAAGTTTCATTGTGTTTAA